ATATTTTAAATAGTCACCAAAAAAGTGTTGAAAAAGTCACCAAAAATTGTATAAAAAGAAAACCCAAAAGCAAACAAAAACAAAACAAAACAAAAAACACGACCAATAACATTTTTAAAAAAACCATTAATTTAAATTGGCCAATGATCGGAACGTAATATCAGCTTCTTTGATTTCACCATTTTGACGACAGTCAGATTTCATGAGTATGACACCCTTAAAAAACACCAGAAAAACCAACACACACTGAAAACTATCACACTGTGTTGAGATTAAAAAGCACATCCCTCCCGCGGTATTGTGCGACCGACTCGTGGTCGTAAATAAAGTCGGGCCTGGGGTCGTACTGAAACAACCGGAAGTCTGGTAGGAAGATTTCTGTCAGCGCCTCTATATCCTCGGCACCCACCGTGCTGTAAGCCTCGGCCAACACGGACCACTTCTGCTTTCTCAGTTTCTCGGGGTCTGCCTGCTCGTGCAAGCGTTTTACCGTATCTGTGAACGTCTTGACAGTCGGCTCCCGTCTCTGCCCCTCCGCTCTGTTAAACCCCTCCCCTTTATGAAGCCCCTCCCCCACCGACCACGGGAAAGAGTTCTCCAACAACAATACACCCCTAATCTGCAGCTTTCTCCAGATCCTCCTCAGCGCCTCCCCCCACGACATACACTTGAGGATCCCTGCCCGCCACCCCCACGGGCTGAAGGTAGAGTCCAGAATAGCGTCGGCCGTGGCGTGGTGCGCCCACGTTTTGAGCCTCTCTCGACTCACTTTGTGACCCAGGAGGTCAAGGGTCAAGGCCACGTCGGGCACGAACGTCTCCATCTTGCCCACCACTGTGTAGTTAAGCGCGCAAGGCTTGCACTGGTCGTACGTGGGCGTGAAGTGGGCGTCCCGGCGCTTGTCGTTGGTCCGCTCGCTGCGCACCACGTACCGGATGAACTCGGAGAACGTGACGTCATGCCCGCACACGGACCGACCTCTCTCGGAACCGGCGCCGGGTCGGAACTGGGCCACGATATGCTTCCCGATCTCCCCCCAGAAGTAAGGATTGGGCGCGAACAGTTTATCCGTGTATCCCGACAGCAGACGAGAAAAAGGCTCCCTCACGAACACGATGGACGTGGAGTTTTCCAGAAACCTGGTGGAGTTCTCGGACGTCAGGGGCAGTAACTCGGTGAGCACTTCCCGCTTGGCCGCCAGGGCTCGCTGTATGCTCACCTCGTACGGGTTGTGCAACTTTCTGCCTTCCCGCACGGCGTAGAAGACTCGGCGGAAGAACGTGGAGCCCACCTTAAGCAGTGGACAGTACAGGTACCCGTTCCGTGTATCCACCTCTATGCGGCCATACGCCCACTCCGCGCTGGACAGCCCAAACAGCTGCTGTTGCTTGCCCTCGCACTCGTGACGTAGCTGCTGGATGCGCGCGCGCTGTTCCTGGCGGAGTCCCTCCATGGGGTAGAAGGTTCGATTCCCGTGAAGGTCGTCCTCCAGGATTTCCATTCTGCCTTTGCTCACCTGGGGAAAGACATAATGTTTGTTTTTGTAATTGTCAGTATTATTATTATAGATTATTATTATTA